CAGACCTCAGCCATGCCCAAAATCAATGGCCAAAATGCCAGGAAATGATGGAAATGAAACATGAGAAAGGCATGGCAAACATGCATGCCAATTGGCCCAAGGACTAAAGCATAAAGATGCAACTCTTAAGCACACCTAAAGAGTGACAAGTAAGGATGTATGACCATACTACATGCTCTGAAATGATGTGAGGAGTGATGCCAAATCAACCAATCGAAGCAAGTATGACATGCAAGAAAGCTCAAGGCTTAAGGCTAGCCAAGGAGCTTGTACTAAGGCCACATGAAACAAACTCCAAAGAGCCAAGGACAACCAAAATAGTCCTAGATCATGCTAAAGGGAGTCTAAAACATGCAAAGGCCAAAGCTAAAACAAGCCAAAATGAAGGGCCGAAGGCAAGATGCAAGTAAGGTCAACAAAGGGGATTACACTACACCCATTATAACCAAACATGGCATGACTTAACCAATGAAAAACAGAGATATGGCATGTCAAAATAGGCCCAAAAACCCACTTAGATGGCATCCCGAAGACCTAATCATGGAGGCATGCACAATGACCCAACCTTAAGGCATAAGACACTAACTCTTCAAAGCTTTGAAATGATAGCAAATGCAAGTATATGAGCATGAAACATGGACTGAAATAACATATGAGATGATGCCAAATCATGAAAAAGGTCCAAGTAGTGCATGCTAATGACTTGGACCCTCAAAGCTAACAAACTAGAATGTATGGTAGCCATGCAAAGTAATGCATATATGATCAAAACAACATGAAACAGAGCTTTAACATGCTGAAATATGAACAAAAGCTCCTTTGGGTCGAGTCAAAATCATGCTAAAACCATAGCTTAAAACACAAAGCATGTTAAGGCAATAGAGAGGATTACAAGGCAAGTATATGGTGCATGCAAGAAGCCATTAAACCAACCTAGAACAGAGGTATATCATGACCAAATGACACCAAATACTTGCTGAAATGAAGCCAAAACATGCTAAGCAAACATGCTACCATTACAAGCCATTAACACAAGCAAATGAGACACAAGGAGAGAGGGGTGTCCCTCTCCTATACAAGACTCTAAAACTACCTTTCCACCACTGAAAATCCTCTGGATTTCAGTGGTAAAAAGGTCATGCAAAGGCAAGAACAAGGGCCAAAAGAGGTGGCTCAAAACAAGGCCAAACAAGGCCTAAGAGGGGGTAGACAACCCCCAACCAAAAAGTGACCTAAACAATCATCTTAAGCACACAAAAATAGAAATTTTTTCAGTTTATAGTTAAGCTTAAAACAATATGCAAATAGGTTAAAAGCTTAAGCCAAAAAGGGGAATCAAAAGGTTAGTTGCTCACCCTTGAAGAACACCTTCAAGAACATAACTCCAGCCACTCCCTTGGATCAAAACCAGCCCAAGAACTCTGAAACCAACTTCCTAGTGCCTCAGCAACCAAAGGAAGGTGTTCTACTAGGTGCTATAGTGCAAAAGTATGAACAAAATACACTTTTAAGGCACCAACACACACACAAATATATATATATAGAGAGAGAGAGGGGGGGATATATGAACTCCATATCTATTTTGCTAAACCTCTGGAAAGGGAGGGGAGGTTCCCCTCTTATAGAAAATCAAATTCAAAGCTTCTTAGAGAAGCTAAGCTTTGGTTCAAATCCCTCCATACACGTATATGGAGGGGAGGGTCTGTGCTCACCAGCTGGCACAGCTGGCATGCACAATGCTTGAAAAAGGCAAAGAAAAGGCCTCGGCTAGAAAATATGGCCGATCAACCAAAATAAGTTCCGACCGACCAACAAAAGTGCCGACCGGCCAACATTTATGGCCGATGGCATCATGCCAAAGCCGATGGGGTGTGGGGATGGCCAACAAGCCACCCTCTTCCCTCAAAAGCAAAACCACAAGTCCTTGGTCCATAACCAAGCACAAAATAGACAAGTTAAGAGATCCTAAGGCAAGGCGCGTAACCGAGACCTTCGGGAACTCAAAACGAACACGAACATGGATGATCATCGAGTGTTCAAACGATGACATCCAAGTTTTGAGGACGGTCAAAAATGGGGTGTCTACAATCGCCTCTTACAGCAATATGTTGTAGATAATTGTGTGAAGATTGAGTCCAACAAATTAAGATGGATACGTACTCATCAGAATCACATTCGAGCATATTTTTGTCAAGGTCTTCTAGATGCGGTACATGCTGGTGAAAATTATGGAGGTACAAATTGACCCATATGGTATTATAACTATATGTATGCATGTTTGTTTATATTCATACATATATTTTTTTTTGTGAAATCCAAATTTGTTTAGGTAATGTTAGTCGTAGAACAATATTACCATCGTCATTTGTTGGTAGCCCACAAGACATGTATTAGCGATATCAAGATGCAATGGCTCTGGTCCAAAAGTGTGAAAAAACTTATTTTTTTTTCCTTATAATGACCTGCAATCCAAATTGGCCTAAAATTAAAGCTGAGTTGCATCCTGGACAATCACCACATGATCGTCCTGATTTGCTAACAAGAATATTTCATTCAAAATTTGATAAGATGAAGACCAACATTCTGACAAAACATATACTCGGGAAAATTCTAGCATATGCATATATTATTGAGTACCAAAAAAGAGGCTTACCACAAGCCTACATGGTCATTATTTTGGATGAAAATGATAAGTTACGCACTCTTGACAATTATGATAACATTGTCAGAGCTGAAATTCCAAACAAGAGATTAGAGCCTAGATTATATAGTGCAGTTTTAAAACACATGATACATGACAAATGATCGGTGCAAAAGACATTTTCTAAAGCCATTTCTCCAATTACTACACTTGGAAACGATTCATATCCTGTTTATCAAATAAGAGAAGGGGAGTCAGTTCCATTAGAAAGTAATCAAAGCGTCTTGGTGAATAATTGTTGGGTCATTCCGTATAACCCATGGTTGTTCTTGAAATATGATTGTCATATCAATCTTGAAATTTGTAGTAATGTTATAATTGTGAAGTATTTATACAAATACGTTTATAAAAGGCCTGACCGAGTCGCACTAGAAGTTAGTCAAGGTCCTAATTATAATGAGGTACAACAGTTCATAGATGGAAGATGGGTTTGTGCTCCAGAAGCATTATGGAAAATATTCAAATTCTCAATGACCAGAATGACCCCTAGCATAGAACGCCTCCAAATACACTTACCTAATAAGCTGCAAGTGGGGTTTTATACATTCTAAGACATCACAAATGTTTTAGGAGATAAGTATTATTCCAGAACAATGCTTACCCAATTCTTTCAATTATATGTTGATGATGAAACTGCAAATCGGTACTTATATCAAGAGATCCCTCAACACTATAAATAGTGCAATAGCGAAAAGATTTGGCAGTTGAGATTGAACTGTCAAAGAGTAATTGGTAGAATTTACACAGTTTCGCCATCAGAATTGAGGAGATTTTACTTGAGAATTTTACTCAATCATATCAGAGGACCAAAATCATTCGACCATTTGTTAATAATTAATGGAATTGCGTATCCAACTTTTAAACAAGCAGCTGAACATCATGGTTTGTTGGAGTGTGATGATAACATGTGACAATGTTTGTTAGAAGTTGCAACCATGCACATGCCATCAGCTTTAAGGAGATTGTTCATTACAATTTTGGTTTACTATGTGCCAATAGGGGTGCGAAGTTTGTGGCATGAAATTTATCCTTACTTGATTGGAGGTTACATACCTTCAAACAATATGAATAATATGTATATCTTTAACAAAACCCTGTAAGATATAATCCGTCTCCTGCTACAGCATAATAAGAACATATCATAATACTATTTGCCTGAGATGACAATGAATTTGGATGATAATTCAACAGTTCCAAAGGTCATATAAGATGAGCTTTCCATTGTAACTCCTCAAGAAGACTTAAATTCTATTGCTACGTTAAATGGTGATCAATGGTTAGCATTTAATTCAATCATGGAGACTATGGAATGCAATACTGGTGCAATCTTCTTTGTGGATGGCCTAGAAGGAACTGGAAAGACATATTTATATCATGCACTGTTGGTCTCAATAAGAAGTCAAGGTCGAATTGCCATTGTAACAACAACTTCTGGAATTGCAACTACACCTTTACCTGGTGCAAAAACAGCCCATTCAAGATTCAAGATCCCATTAAATCCAGAGGCTTTGTCCGTGTGCTCTATTACTAAACAATCAAATTTGGCAGAACTGATTAGACATGCAACAATCATCATTTGGGATGAAGCTACAATGACGAATCGTTATGCTTTTCAAGTTTTGAATCGAACATTCATAGACATCATTGGTGTTGATTATCCATTTGGTGGCAAAATTATGGTGTTTTGTGGTGATTTGAGACAAGTACTTCCGGTTGTTCCTAAAGGTACAAAAGCTAAAACTATTTATGCATCGATAGTCAAATCACCTCTTTGGACTCACATTCAAATACTTCATTTAAAGCAAAATATGTGCTCTATAAATGACCAACAGTTTGGTGAATTTCTTTTACGTGTTGGAGATGGTGTACAACCAACCATTATAGATGAAATGATCAAAGTACCAACATCGATGGCAATACCATGGAATGGCGAATAATCAATAGTTCAACTATTAGAAGAATTTATCTTGATATCAGTAACCATTCTTTTGACGTAGGGTATATGGTTAGTATAGGCATAATAACTCCTCGCAATGAAGATGTCGACAAGGTCCATGAGAAAATCATCCAGAGATTTTCAGGAGAATCAAGAGTGTACCACTCATTTGATACAGTTGAAAATGATTTCCAAAATTTGTATCAACAAGAGTTTTTAAATTCCATTTCACCAAGAGGAATGTCCCCACATGCATTGCATTTGAAAGTTGGAGCCCAGCCCCAATTATGCTTTTGAGGAATCTTGACCCTTCTGGTTTGTGCAATGGCACAAGGCTACTGTGTTAAGCTTTGAACGATAATTTCATAGATTCAAAGATTTTGACATTTTAAAGGCATAAGAGTTTTCCTGCATCGCATTCCATTAAAGGCTTCGGAAAACTTAAAACTTCCATTTGAAATGACTCGCACACAATTTTTCGCTCACCATAATTTTGCTTTGACAATAAATAAATCACAAGGTCAAACAATTCCACATGTGGGAATTTACCTTCTAGATCATGTATTTAGTCATGGGCAATTATATGTTGCTTTATCTCGAGGGTTGTCAGATTAGACAGCTAAAGTCTTGGTTAAAAAGGGTTCAGTTAATAATGAA